CACATTTCCAGGAATCAAGAAAGGACTTTCAGTTTCAGTTTTATGAGAATGTTTTCCTGTGTTAAAAGAAAGAACTTTATTCAAATGTAATAACAAGGGGCTCCACAAAACATGACCAGAAGTCTTAGCTTTGTTATTTCAAATATCAATAAACTGACACTGAAAAAACTGGTGACTTAAGTCCTTGTTTTGCTTTGCTTGTGTGCGTGGCTTTTGGTTTAGTTCCTGAGCCATGTTTGTTTCAACCCACAAGTTTTTTCCCTTCAGCTCTTCTGGTTCTCTCCCCAATCCTGCTGGTAGGGGAGTGAGCAAGTGGCTCTCTGGTCCTTAGTTGCTGGCTGGGATTAAACCTCGCCATGTGAAGAGCAGACAAAACCAGCAAGCCTCTTACAGAAGCTGTTTTGCTCTTATCTCTCCTTACAAGCCACAGGCTTCCAAACACTTAGGCCAGATACTCCAAGTAAAGAGCAATAAACTAGACTTTTCCAAAAGAGTTTTCTTCTCAAACAATCCACACATCAGCTTTGTGACAAGGAAATAGCAGGGCTCAGGACATTGGGAGATGAGCAATAGGTGCCTCACAGCTCATTCTCCACAGACATCACCCCCAGCACTGCAGGGATCCCAGCTTTGCCTTTCTGCTGGCTGGGGAAAGATTGATGTGCTATCTATGAACTGCTTAAAAGCCACCTCAGATTTGGGGATCTGCTGCTCCCAAAGGGAGTCAGAGGAGCCAGGGAAAGGAACACTTTCCAGGCAGGAAAAAAAATGAATGGAACACCATCCTGTCCAAATCAGAGCACTCCTTGAAAACACTGAGGGATACAGCCTACAGGATCTGCCCTTCCTTCCTACCTCCCATCCTCCCAGGGACTGCTCAGTTTAGATCCTGCAGGCAGCACAGGCTCCAAGACACTGCACATGCCTTGCTTGCCCTTTTGCAGGCCTGGGAACTGGGAGTTTTCCACCCAAACAGGCCCTCAGCTGAAGGACACACAGTAAACCCTCAGCAATACTTTTATTTTACTTTTTCAGAAAGTTAGGTTTAAAATCAGATATTCACAGAAACAGACCACAGGATTCAGCTGATAAAAACAGGAAGGTTGGATAGAAAGCCTGCACCAGTCCTCAGCAAAACACTGGAGGCAGGGTGGGGGGAAGGAAGGGATAATTTGCTTTCAAGTGCTCCCAGACTGCCACAAAAATCATTGCAGGCAATGAAATAAAACCAAATGTGGCAACCAGGCTAGTGCTGCTGGCAATCACCTTCCACTCTTGACTTGTTATTTCTTAATGGAATGGAAGAGAGAAGTAAGGGTGAATTGTTGCACTTGCACACAAAACTATACTCAGATAGATAGAAGAGGAATTTAGGTCAACATGAGTTTATTTGTTTAGATTTTCTTGTAATTATTAATTATCGCAGGAAGGGCAGCAAAGTTGCTGGTAGTCTTTGGTATCAGGTGTGGCAAATACTGGGCAATGACCACCCAAAGCCAGGGGCTCCCTGCCTTGCTTGGAGGTCTTACAAATGGCCCATCAGTTGCTCTTTCTCTTTTTCCTGAATGCCTTGGAGAACAAGGCCTTCGCAGCTTTGATAGCCAAAGGAACACAAGCAGAAGCAGTTGAAGCACGAGCAACAACAACACCAGCAGCAGCACCAGCAGGACCAAAAACAGGAACAGTGACAGCAGCCACAACCCCACCAACAACTGCAGAAGCGACCATTTCGCCACCTAACCAGATTATCTGTCGAATTGCTTTCTTGACCTGTAAAGTGAAAGGAAAACACAGGCTGGAAACAAAAGAAGCAATTATATTTTCCCCCAAGCATGATAATGAAGAGCAGGCAGGGATAATCAGGGCAATTAAAAGAATGAGGGACATTTTCCCCATAAGCAGAAGGGATAACATCCAGGATTTTAGCCTTACGCTGTGGCATTCAGAAAGAGGGCACTGTCAGGGTGAAGATAGACCACAGTGACCCTCCTGCTCCAGGGTCTCCGGGGAGGCCAGAGGCAGCAGAGGTATGGACCCCACACCTGGGACTTGGCTGTCCCCAGACAGTGTGTGGGCTGTGTCCCTGTCCAGAGGCTCACAGGGAGCAGCAAGGAGGTGCTGTGTGAGGCACAGAGGGGCTTATCTCATGGTACTTACCTGGTCAGAGACACTCTTGCCATAGCGGAGCATTGTCACAAAGTGCTCACAGTTTTTGCGAAACACACGATAGGTCATCTCCATGCCAATGTAGCTCTCAGCACGCTTGATGATCTCCTCCACTGGGAGGGGGGTGTAGGAGTGGTCATACTTGTTGTTGACCTCCCAGTCATCAGTTCCCACCACCTCCTTCAGGAGCTGCTTCTTCACTTTGGCCTTTTTCCTCAGTGTTGGGTCACTACTGCCTGACAGGCATTGGATCCCTTCATCTGGGAAAGGCAGGAAGGAGATAAGCCAGGCAGAACCTATGTGGCCCCTCCAAGACCTCAGATGGGTTTCTGACTGCTCCTGGAAAGGCCATCTACATACACAGTTTTGGTCAACCAGCAGCCCACAGAGGGAGACAGGGCTCCTGGTGGCACCACAGCACCCCCTCTGCACCCTGCCAGGTTGCACCAGCCTTACCTGCGGACGTCAGGTGGACGACATATCCATCTCCCAAGTAGAGGGCCCAGTGCTGGTAACCTGATCGCTTGATCTCGATCAGGTCGCCAGGCTCAGGTTGGTGCCTGTGGCGTGACATCCCAGGAGACTTCGGTCAGGACACGGCGGTGCAGCTGGTCTGGCGCAGCGCAGGGCGCAGCGGAGCGGGGAGGTGTGGGGTGTGCAGAGGCACCTGCCGGGACGGCAGGCACGGAGGGCGTTAGTGCCGGGCACCGAGGGCATGAGCTGCCGGAGCGGCGGCCCCTCCGCGCCGGACCCGG